GACAAGAAAGTTCTGTTGCAGGAACAGAGATAAAACACACACACACACAGATTAAAGAGGGAAACATTTGTTTATTGAAAAGGAGAAGGTTCTGGATGGCAACACAGAGTCAGACATGAGACAGATGAATGCACGCACAGCTGTTCATGTTTAAAGGCAGAATATAGACATAAATACAGTTAGATCTTTGCTCTGCTCTGCTGCTACAGTATTTTTATACAATCAACTCAAAGGAATATCTATCATAACTGAACACAAGGAGAAATTTATCAGAAACAGAACACAGATTGCTTCTTTAAAGCCAGGATAAATGAAGCCCAGAAAAGTCTCTCAACCTATAGTATTGCAAAATAAACTTAATTGTGCAAAAGCAAACCACCTTCTATGGATGGCAATATTAAATGTCGGATCCAACTCCAAGTCAGCTTGTATTTCTGTTTGAACAAAATGCAGGTAGTTTACCCCTACTATCACAGTTCTGCTCTGTCTCAAGGAAAGCCAGCACTGTGAAACAGGAATGAATGCCCTTTAAAAGTAGTACTTTTTTCCTGTGGTCTATAAAGCTTATTTTCAAAGCACACCAGAAAGAGGCCCCCTCCCCCACAATGTTTTAATGATTAGATAATGATTAGTGAGACGATCCTGAAAAATCATAAATGCTCAGGAAATGATGGCCAAATACTATAGGAGAGCAAAACAGGCCATACAAGAGAGACCATAAGCAGGTCTATAGGATACAAATACTTCCCCAGAGTTGCCACTTTCTAGCCTTTAGAGGACATTATTTAATATTGGTTCTGCCATGGTGACCTCCAGTCATACTTTGCCTGCATCAAGTAAGATATGTAACTGTTCAAGGCATTTAAGTGCAGCCTTTAGTATTTCATGGTTCAATTTCTACAAAAGTAGAAATATGTAACTCTATCGTATCACAAAAATAATTCTTGAAAAATGCTTTGACTCTCTTATTTGGTGTGCAGTAGGAAATTGTTTCAATTTATAAATAAGGCCAACATGGACTAACTGCCAACATGGATTACTTTGAAATCTCAGTTGTAATATTTCTATATGATGCTCATTTGAATGTTCCTTTTTTAAATATTCAGTTATCTTCCTTCAAAGTTATTTTTGTTAATAGTTTTCCTTTATATTTTTTAAGTTAAAGTTAAAATATTACAGCATATTTCTGATCCATTTATAATTCAAGTTCAGTTTTGATACCACAGAACATCAACTTTCACATATCTATTTCTTTATGCAAACTGTAACAAACAAACCCTCATATTCCTTCCTAATCTTATTTAAAGCTTTGCAAGATGTAGAAAGCACTTGCAAGACAGTAATATTTTATTCATATTATGAATTTCCCAAGAATCTCAGGTTTTACTGCAATAAAAATGTAAAGATGCAAACTGCCCTCCCTGCGACATAAAACTTTCATTTCAAATAGCCAACAAAACACAGAAGTTACACTGAACATATTCCAGATTACAGAATTGCGAGAAAACACCAAACCTTTCCTTCATCTTGTCAAGTATATCTTGGATAATACAGCCTTTCAGTTAGATAAGAAAGCCTGTGACTGCCCATCAGAAACCTGCATAGTCACATCCATGTGCTGAAATCACTCAGTCACAGCTCTGCACACAAACGTAGGATTGACTGATTGTACAACACCCATGTTCTAGATCAAACACCTGGGCACATCCTGCTTCTCTGCAGAGGGAGAGTGGCACAACAGACCAGGATGAATTCTGCTAGAACAGAGAACTCCTAGTGTACCCAGAGCCAAACTTTCCATCTCCTCTGCTACCTCCCACATATAACCTTTGGGGAAATACAAGTAGTATATATCTACAGGATGAATTCATGGAGAGAAGTCACAGGTACTGTCACACATTAAGTGACATTTTGTTAGAGAAATGTGAGAAACATGCGTTTTCACATCCAGTCCCTTTTTGACACTTAATATTCATATAAGCATTAAATGTGTGTGTGCACACACAGGTAAGAAGTGCACACAGAGCCAAGTTAAGTGCAGTTCTGTCACCTAATATGTAATGCTGCCATTGATGGGGTTGAAAAGATCCTAGAAGCCATCTAACAAAGCATTGTTACAATCCTCTTTAGCTGTTACCATTCATTATTATATTTTTTCTCTATGGAATGGTGGTAGGGCAGTTAAGCATTTTATTTCTTAAGCATGAACCCAAGCAGGAGAGCTGTGTGACTGTGACCAGCAATGGCAGCTCAGCACATGCAGACCCAGGAGGTGGAGTTGATAGCTCTGTCATGGAGCACCCTGCCACTCTGGCAAGCATCTTGGCTGCCCAGTGGGATGGAAATTCATCTTACTGCAAGTACAACCTGTGATCTGCTTTTCTGTTTGCATGGCCTCCTAACATGTCAGCATCATCAAGTCTCCAGTTTCTTCAGAGCTGATCATCAGGCTTATGTTTTTCTTAAATTGCCCTCAGGATAAAAAGTCAGAAAGTTGGAATTGGGATGACTGATTAAGCCCTTTTTCCTCAAAAAAAACCAAACAACCCAACCAAAAAAAAAAACCAAAAAAACCCACCCACAACCAAAAAAAACCACAAAAAAGAATCCCACAAAAAAAAAAAAAAGTCAGAAAATGTCAGAACATAATGATTGCTTGTTCCCTACAATAGGCTGAAACTCTAAAACAACGGTATAAGAAAGAAAAAATTAAAAAATCTACAATACAATATAGTGCTGTTCTATGCAGCATTTGGACCACGTGACATGCTAGAAGTAGAGTACATTTTTATTCAAAAATGCATTTTATTATCCAAGAAAACCATTATGTATTGAATACTGTATTAAAAGTCACTTTGTTTGGCAGTGGATTTACAGACTGACTTTGTGGCAGCAGAGCTGAATGCTTTGTAGCCTTTAAATGAGCTGAAAAGTAAAAAGTCCTCTTGGGGATAGAGGCAAACTGCATTGCCCTTCTGCCAAAGAAGCAGGCAAGGGAACATGCTATAAAAGCTGGAGTTAGCACAAGGAGAGGAAAATAATTTTAGATTTCTACATTATTTCAGTTAACAACTTTCAGGGCAAACCCCTCCCAAAAAAAATTATAGCTAAATGTGGGAGGATAACTGGAAAGAGCAGACAGACATGGAGTTCTTCCCTCTGAAGCAGGATCTGCTTCTATTGACATCTTTCCTGTAATTATAACCCCCAGTTATTCCAGTATAAGACAATGTATACCACTGAAAATAAGCATTAGGAATATAATTATTCTGTAAATTATCTTATTTCAGCTTAAAGAAGCTGAAATGCTTTTGCAACATTTTGTACTCAGAGTACAATGCCAAAAAGAACCCAAACAAAAGTACCATGGTACCATTCACACAAGCATATTTATTATATAAATATTTTATAAATTACAAGATTTTAATTGCAAATGTAAACACTTCTAGGAAAATAATGTTTTATAGTCTTATTAATGTTTACAACTATTATAAGGCACATAGTGCAAAAATACATTTCTGATGCAGAGATCACAAAATAATTACCTACATGTGTTATCTTAAAAGAAGCTGTATACACTTCTGTGGTAGAGTATTGTTTTTAATTAATAAATATTGCTAATTCATGGCTAACTTTTTGTGGGTAAAAATGTGATATAGCTGCCACTTGATCTACCAATTATACTGGCATGCAAAATAAATATTTGGTTTACAGAATGTGTATGGTCACAAAAAGCATGTATAATTATCTGCTACATTATAGTTATCTGCTACAATAATATGCATTATTATGCAGGTAGAAAATTTTATTCTGAATACCTGAGAGTTGGCCCTAAAACACATTATCTGTATATGCATATATTTCTACAGTTCTGACTGTAAAGTAGTACAAACCAACAAATCAAAGAGCTAGATAATTTTTTAAACCTTGTGACTCCTTTAAATAGCAGACATTGAAAAACCAAACTGAGTCAAAGATGGACACCAAAACCACTGTGGGTGCTGCCTCTGTCCAGATTTTTCACAAAGGTTATTGAAAATGATGCTGAATCAGACTTTGAAGGATGCACACTACAGCCTTTACTAATGTGCCATTGGCCAGGATAAAGGAGTAAGGTGGATATGGAAAGTGTTTAAGCAAATACATATTTGTGCAATTATACACAAGATCCTATGGTAAACAGAATACATTGCTTTCACAGTATACTTGGATGAGAGGCAGTGATTTAAAATCAGGTTTTGAAGCAATTTGTTTCTGTATTTTCTTTTCTTTTATCCACAGCAAGACCTAATATCTGTATCCAAACCTAAGACCTGATGTTTAACATGTGCTACAGGGACTACAGAGGTTAAACCACACTTCTTAGTATTTCTGCTTAGATTTGAGCACCACAAAGAATATAATGAAAAAGATGGGGAAAATGCTCTCACTGACAGAGAAACACACAGATCTATAAAACTACCTCAAGCATTTTGGCTATGTACTTTTCAGCTGTAAGTTACTGACAGATAATACCTACAAGTTTGTGCAAAACTGAAGTATTGAAATTACCTGTCTCTTTATATAGCAGTAAAGCTTTCCTTTCTATATTTTAGCACTATCTATCAAAAAATGTCAGTAGAGGTTAAATTTACTGAATTCTATAAAGAATTATACTGGTAAGTTACAGGTAAAGAATTACAATTATGGTAAAATTTAGAGTGTTACCCATGGAAGTAATCCCAGTGCAATTTACTTGTTAGTATATACTCTACTTGGAATAAGTGTTTCTCCTGTAAGCCTGAAGGTTTCTGATTGTACTTTATGCACTTGCTAGCCCACAAACAGATAATACAAAATTGAGTAAATCCTGAAGAAAACAGGAATTCTTATTAGTGAATGTTACAGTAATGAGCACTACAGACAATGAAAAAAATTACAATATACATATACAGAGCACCTATAATTTGAACCTAAATAACAAAAGTCCCTGCTTTGATGCTCTTAGTACATCAGAGTTCTCAGTGTATTTGAAGTTGGAGACCAATAATGGTATTAGGAACACATTTTCCACAAAATCCTCCACATCTTCCATATATTTTAGTACCATCCTGGGAATCGGACAAAGAGAAGAGACAATCAAGAAAAATGATTGAAATCACAGTTGCACAAAAGGCTTCTAGATGTTTACACACAGCAGACCTTTTGACAAATTATACCTAGAAACACTAAATCAAGAAGCAGCAGCATTAGCAAAACAGGAACAGAGAACCTTTATCACTACCACTCTACACCTTGTTCCCAAGGCTCTACACCATTCCCAGGCTTACCATCCGATGTTGTCTTAAACCATGCACACTTACTGTTCTTGTTTAACTGGTCTTTTGGTCTCCTATGCTAATAAAGTTGGGAGTAAGCAACAAAAAGGATCATTTGTAGTAGGATGATCTTGAACAAAATATGGAGGTTTGGGTGTTGTGTTTGGGTATTTTTAAAACCATTTTCAAAGCCTCTAATAAACCAAATCAACACTATACACTCTTAAAATCAGTTAAGAGAAGGGTAGGTAGGGAATGATGATCTGAATTTGATACTGGAAAGTGTGATTAAACATTGCTGAAGAAGACTTAAATGGGTCAGAGAACTTGAATGCTATTTCTGACTCACAAAAATCACTGTAGCTTTCACTGCAGTCAACACTTGTACCACTTGTCCAAGCTATAAGAGCAGGTAAAGGAAAACAGCATTGACTCACATGGGATTTGTGTATGTCAGCAGTTGCATAGTTGCCCTGAGCAATCCATCTCACTGTACTGGGTAATCTCAGACCTGTACCAGCCAAGTTAATGCTGAACTGTCCCTAGG